AAATGTCAACTCCGGGTCTTGGAGCAAAGCCCCTGAAATAGTAACCAAGTCTCTGACATCTCCTTGTCAAGAAATAAAAGAGAAGACGTGGAGACTGAGGGTGGGGAAAGAAAAAAAAAAAAAAAAAAAAAAAGAAAAACTCTCTCTCTCTCTCTCTCTCTCTCTCTCTCTCTCTCTCTCTCTCTCTCTCTCTCTCTCTCTCTCTCTCTCTCTCTCTCTCCCCCCCCCAGCAAATGTGTGCATCAGGTCGCGGTTCCCAACTGGTATTGAAAACTAGAGCTATCCTCCTAACTCCTCCTCTGGTGCTACCTCGCCAACTCTAACCTCTACTAACAGCACTGCCTTCAGCAGCATGTCGCCTAGAGTGTCTCTGACATTGCATATCCAGGACTGAGTGTCAGCCCAGCTATATACTGCTTGGTCTGCCGGAAGTCCTCTCAGTCTGCAGTTGAACCCATCCAATCTAATGTCCAATCGACAGCCCCAGAGGCAGGTATAAATCTTGGTCTAGCGCGTTGGCCTCAAACGACCTGCCTGGATCCCTACCGGACACCAGACCTCCATGCTGATGCAGTGGGGATGTCCTAAGAAGGACAAGTGCTGGACCAGGCAGAAAGGACAAAACTGGTCCAGCTCCGAGTCTGACGCGGCCAAAAGGGCCTAAAAACAGCTGTTGGGGCTCACAAACGGTCTGCCTGTCCTACCACAGCCTGTTCGGACAACAAAACAGTCGAAATGACACACCCTAGACTGGACAAAACCTGGAGACAAAAATTATATGGAAAATAGAATAAATCTCAGAAAACAAATATATACACCAAAACAACCCTCACGATGTATCTACCTACCTAGGACCTCTCTAGTGGTCCTGAAATATGGCCAGGTCCCCCTAGGGCCACCCAAAATGCGGCTCGTGCGGCCTAGGGCCTCGTAGGTCCAAGGTCGGGCTTGTAGGGCCCATGCGAAGAATTTGTGAAACTATTGAACACATCTTTATGCAGTGTCCAGGTGCAGTCCTTTTATGGCGAAGATGGGACTGCACTTGGAGGAGTCTGCCTCGGATAGACTGGCCGTGGGAATGGCCAGCCATCTTGCTGGGTTACTGGGAACCTATAGAATTCCAACTCTCTGAGTTTCAGAGTAATTTGTTTAGTATAGGAAGAAAGGCAATATTATGGGCCCTATGGTATAAACGTTGTGTCCTAACTAGAGAAAACGTGGCCTTGGAAGGGGGGGAAATCTCAGAGATAATTGTGCAATTTATTCAGACTGAAATCAGAGCACAATGAGAAAAGACTAAATCAAGACTCATGAAACTACATCGGAAGAAGGACATTCAAGAAGGAATTCAAAAATTTGTTCTGAACTGGCTGGGGAGATCTCAAGGGAAGGGCCT